CGACGTCCTCCGTTTCATGTAGCGACCGTTCTCCTCTCGTCGGTTCACCCCTTCCCCACCCCATTCCCACCTTCCTTCTCATCTGGCAAATGGATGAGATAAATTGCGCTCTTGGCACTTGACTTTTAAGCCCACTAGGCAAAGATCTGCCCGACTATACTTACTTTTAAATGTCCTCTCTCTTGACTGGAGCTTCAGCAATGTCGACGACGACGGCGACGGCAACGACAACGACGACTACTGCGACGCTCGTCGGCGACGCCGCGCTGACGACGCGGGTAATGACGCGACTCCTCATGGATTAAGCTGTTAGAGGCTTACGAGGTGGTGATTATATGACGCCCGTGCGATCATCGGATGGGCAATTACGCCACCGTAAACGGCCGTCGTTGGCCTATAAACTCGTCGATTTGCCGCGGTCATACGGTAGGTAATGTTCTCCCGTAGAACGGGAATCAGGGATCAGGTACGGACCTGACGGAGAAAAGATAATTACTTATAAGAGCGATAAGATAAAGTAATAAAATAATAAGAATTCCATTTCAAAGAGGTAAACGCGGACGAATAAAATATGTATGCTTTTAAAAATGTATATTCTTCAAAAATTATCTTTAGACAATTATCTTGTAATAATGTAATAAGTCATATATGATGTATGTATTTCTCTTCTATATTATGATGTTTCTATACCTTAGATGTTTATTATATCTCTCTGTTTTCTTGCTATAAAATGTTTAAATAACGCAATGAGTAGTCCAAAGGAACCAAAAATCTGTAAAAATAAATACAAAAAGATAAATAATAAATACATTATACTATAAGATAAAGACTTAATATACATATATAGAACTTAAAATTTTCAAGGTTTATCTCTTAAAAGAAGAGAATAAACCTGTACAAGCTAACAATAAGATATTTATGTGACAAAGTATATGTGAAACAATGAAAAGGAATTGACGAATTTACGGGACAATTTTATCCAATGGACCGATTACCAATTCGCGACACGTTATCATGACATAAGACGTAACGGAAGCTTAAAGAACGCTATTGTCCCGCGCGGTTGGTCCACGAGCAAGGTAGGATTTAATAATGTTGAGAGGCCGGCTAGACATTGTGTACATATCAAGATTAATACACACAGCTTTCGGGCATCTTCAATATCTGAGCAGTTCAGAAGCGCGGCATTGTCTAAGGGCGACGACGCGGCTTCGCTCGCTGTGCTTTATGGCCGCCTCAACCGATGACAGTGATGACGAGCATTATACAACACATAATCGTCCCAATGGCTGCCATCCGCTTGATACACATGCACAGAAAACTATGTTTAGCATAGACTGTCATTTGCTCGGAACTCGGTCTCGAAAGTTTGCTTTTTAGATAACACATAGTACGTTTCTGATCTATTATGTGAAACAATGAAAAGGAATTGACGAATTTACGGGACAATTTTATCCAATGGACCGATTACCAATTCGCGACACGTTATCATGACATAAGACGTAACGGAAGCTTAAAGAACGCTATTGTCCCGCGCGGTTGGTCCACGAGCAAGGTAGGATTTAATAATGTTGAGAGGCCGGCTAGACATTGTGTACATATCAAGATTAATACACACAGCTTTCGGGCATCTTCAATATCTGAGCAGTTCAGAAGCGCGGCATTGTCTAAGGGCGACGACGCGGCTTCGCTCGCTGTGCTTTATGGCCGCCTCAACCGATGACAGTGATGACGAGCATTATACAACACATAATCGTCCCAATGGCTGCCATCCGCTTGATACACATGCACAGAAAACTATGTTTAGCATAGACTGTCATTTGCTCGGAACTCGGTCTCGAAAGTTTGCTTTTTAGATAACACATAGTACGTTTCTGATCTATTAATATATATATATATTTAAGAAATCTCCAAAACTTTTTTAGACTTCTCTAGGTCTCAAGTGTCAAAGTGCATTTCTAATTTATATATATATATTTAAGATTCTCTAAAATTTTTTAGAACTTTTTCTTGTTTTAACTCGTAAGACATTCGAGATATATAAATATATTCAATAGATTTGCGATAATTTTTAGAAAATTAACTCTGTACACAAAAAACGATAGCAATTCAAGTTATTAATTTAATGGATTAAAATTAACAACCTATAAAGTTTACATCATAGATCAAACATTTATCTACTTCACTTACTTTTGCTATAAATCCAGCGAATGAAGCCTGACATTAATATAGATATCTGTGTTAATCAAAATCGAGCAAGAAAGTCGAACACTCAAATCTTAAAGATTTTTAAAACATCTAAAAAATTTCTTCAAGATATATAAGACTTTTTTAAACAACCTTGTAAACTTTAATTAAGTATATTGTTGCGTAAATAGCATTTGAAAGTATTTTCATAAATCAAACAGTGCGTAAGAAAATAGCACAATTTCTCAATCGATTCACGCGTCGTTGCATCACAGTTTTTTAGTTTCGCCGGACAACCAATTCGCTGACGCAAATAGAATAACGACGAAATTTGACGAGAAAAAATTAGGAAGCGCGACGGACGGACGAAGGAATGCTCATGTCCTCGTCATTGTCCTCGACGTTGTGGTATCCACGAGCCGAGAGTCGGCCGAGCAAATACGAGTACGAGTCCTATTCCAATTCCAGCAAGTTAATTGGAATTGTTTGCTGCAGACACCGCGAGCCGTTTGCCCTCGCGCCCTTCTGAATCCTATACCTCGAGCAGCGCCTTCTCTTTGTCGCTGGTCTCCCCTGGCTACCGTTATCGTGACTTCAGCATGAAACTCACACCAGCCCGGCAGTCTCGTCGCGTTCATGCAGTTCCTGACATCCTGAGAGGTATTAATTTCTACCACCCACTCGGTATGCTTACTGAAGGCCTCGTGTTAAAATGCTTGCCCGTGTTCTTTCCAATTGCCCAAATAATCTTACTGTTAGAAGAATGCGTAATGTATTTGCCGTCTTCGCGATACATACACACATTACCTGTTTAATTAATTGCAGCAATGTTGGAGATCAAATTTAATATTATTGTTATATATAGTTGAGTTGTTATAATAAACATATAGATACATTAATTATATATATGCATACACATTATACAATTTACTAAAATTTTGCTAATGATCAGATGTCTATTGTGTGTGTGTGTGTGTGTGTGTGTGTGTGTGTGTGTGTGTGTGTGTGTGTGTGTGTGTGTGTGTGTGTGTGTGTGTGTGTGTGTGTGTGTGTGTGTGTGTGTGTGTGTGTGTGTGTGTGTGTGTGTGTGTGTGTGTGTGTGTGTGTGTGTGTGTGTGTGTGTGTGTGTGTGTGTGTGTGTGTGTGTGTGTGTGTGTGTGTGTGTGTGTGTGTGTGTGTGTGTGTGTGTGTGTGTGTGTGTGTGTGTGTGTGTGTGTGTGTGTGTGTGTGTGTGTGTGTGTGTGTGTGTGTGTGTGTGTGTGTGTGTGTGTGTGTGTGTGTGTGTGTGTGTGTGTGTGTGTGTGTGTGTTCTATTGTGTGTGTGTGTGTGTGTGTGTGTGTGTGTGTGTGTGTGTGTGTGTGTGTGTGTGTGTGTATGTGTGTGTGTGTGTGCATGTGTGTGTGTAATCATAAAGAATTAAAAATATTATCATAAATATACAATTAGCATAATTTATAAGATGTTATATACCTGTAAGATTTCAATCAGAGAATTATGTATTCAAACAATTGCCTGCATCTGTTTCAGTATTAGATTATTTTTTATTAAAATATTGCGATTATAGTAACGTTTTTAACTTCTTTAGAATATATATAGAGAGATATCGCACTTTTTTATTGAAACCCGGCAATGAATTATTTGTTTGTATTAGGCAAATTATACGAATCATTTGAGTGATTCTGAATATGCGGAAGAGAAAAGTAATGAATTCTGCATATCTATATGGCAGTTTTTGCATTTTCAATTTTAAAATTTATCTTACTAAATCGCGCATTCTTATAAATATAAGATTGGTGTAAAAAGTTAGATAAAATCGATTATATTTGCTTTTCTCAAGAGTATCATGTTAATATATATTCTTGTTTAAGATAATAACAATACATAAAACTCAAAAATTTTGCAATTTAGCACATAATTTTTATAATTATTATAAATTATTAAACTCTCTTTTATTACCATTATATAAATATTGTAAATTTTTCAAGAATTTGTCAAAGCAAATAATTTGATATCTTCGATGTTATTTTGATGTCTCGTTCAGAAGTTATGTCGTTACATAATATTTTTATCAATAATCTTGCAGAGAGATCTCGTATCTACGAAATCTTTAAATACGTCTCTACAATACCTGTAGAAATCTGCAAAAACTGTCGAAATATGTCTCATGCACAAGTTAATCAAATGCGTTCTTCGGCACGGCGTTTAAAATCTTTTAAATTATCACATAAGGGGCTATTTGTAGTGACATTTGTAGATGTGGTATATATATAATAGTAATCTCTTTTATAAATATCTCAAATTTTTCCATTTCTAATTATCTCGTTTCTTATTATAGATGATCTTTTTTGCACAATCAAGACATGGCAAGATTAGTTGAAGTGTTCGTTGAAGTTCTCTCTGTGTTAATTCTGATTATTGATAAAGCTCATTCTACCGTTGATTTGCTGATTATATTTCAGATAATTATTAATGATTCATTACGCATCTTGATCAAAATAAATTCTAGGATATTCTTTAAAGCTTTCTCTAACTAGAGAACTAAGGCGATGGGCCACGGTACCAAAAAGAGTGATTACAGCAGTTATTAAATCGCGTTAAAAACTAACATTATTATATAAACATACAAACTATACATTATATTATATAAACATTGTTTATATAATATAATGTATGTATATACATATGCATTATAAATATTAACTATAACCAAAATTGATTAGTTGGCAGGATATAAAAATGCTTTTTTTTATATTTATTTATACTATTGCTTATATTACGAAAGAAAAGGAGGAAAAACAAATAAAATAAGTACTTTATTATAAGACACAATAAATTTTTTATTAATTACACAGAAGCAATATATCCGCAATTGAATCCGAGGACTCTTATCTTACATTATTACATCAGTGTATAATTTGTTTGCATAAATTGCAAATAGTGAATGTTTAAAATGCTAGATGAATTTTTATTTAAGGCCAATTATTCTGGTACTAAGTGCCGAGAGCCCTACTAAATCCAATCCTTGCTCATTGCTTTTTGTGATAAATTGCAGGAAGACCTCATTAACAGCCAGATTATTGACAATGTTTTCAAATTCCGGGGATGAAACCTGTGAGACGAACTTAGCAAAGACTGTGGAAGTATTCACTTTTTCCTGAAAGAGAGCATCGATCTTTTCATAAGGTAGCAAAGCATAAATATCCCGGATCATTGCTGTCAGTCCACCGCCGACTTCTTGCTTTTTAATTTGAGATTTGAGGAAGCTTTCTATTTTAGGGGGCACATAGTCCTCCATACCGATGGCTTTGTGGAATGCCTGGATATTTTCATAAACATGGCATCCAGCATCTTCGAGGGATACTAGTAATTCCTGATATTTCTGAAGAGCTTCGACAGCGCGTAACAGGTCATGGAATTCGGGTTTGAACATGAAGAGGATAGCGTTTTGTACTCCTTCATCTTCGTTTACATACTTGAGTACTATGTCAGAAATCTTTTCCAATGGAAGAAGCTTCACGAAGTCAACAAACTCATCCTCTAACGTTTTAGAATGGCCCGGTATAGTAACACCGAGAACAATATACAAGACGTCTGCTACGATTTTCAAATTCACATTTCTATTCTTGAGTCCTGTTACAATGATCTGGAAGGACTCACTTTCGGAAAGCCTGCTGTCATTCCGCCGCCGACCTCTTGCTTTTTAATTTGAGATTTAAGGAAGCTTTCTATTTTAGGGGGCACATAATCCTCCATACCGATGGCTTTGTGGAATGCCTGGATGTTTTCAATAACATGGACTCCAGCATTTTGGAGGAATACTAGTAATTCCTGATATTCCTGAAGAGTTTCGACAGCGCGTAACAGGTCATGGAATTCGGGTTTGAACATGAAGAGGATAGCGTTTTGTACTCCTTTATCTTCGTTTACATACTTGAGTACTATGTCAGAAATCTTTTCCAATGGAAGAAGCTTCACGAAGTCAACAAACTCATCCTCTAACGTTTTAGAATGGCCCGGTATAGTAACACCGAGAACAATATACAAGACGTCTGCTACGATCTTCAAATTCACATTTCTATTCTTGAGACCTGTTACAATGATCTGGAAGGACTCACTTTCGGAAAGCCTGTTAACGATCTGTTGGCTGTTGGATCTGAGTTCGTTAAGCAAGTCGTTGAAGGCTGAGGAATATCTCAGCTTATCCACGTATAGGCTAATAAAGTCGTCGTAATTCAAGAGGTCCTTGACATCTTTGAATAATCCTGCGAGACCCCAGCTTCTCCTTTTCATTACATTATAAGAGACAGGTGTAGGTTCAGGTGCAGGTTCAGGTGTCAGATCAGCTGTAGGGGTAGATGAAGGTGTAGATGTAGGTGTAGGTCTAGGTGTAGATGAAGATGTAGGCGTGGATGCAGATGAAGATGTAGGCGTGGGTGTAGATGTAGGTGTAGATGAAGATGTAGGTGTAGGTGTAGATGTAGATGTTGGTGTTGATGTTGGTGTTGATATTGTTGGTGGTACGAGTTCCTTGATTCCGACGGCTCTATTTATCTGATTTATTAAGTTGTAGCTTTCGACGCCTTCCTCTTGCAGATAATTAAGAAGATTGATCACTTCAGGAATATTCTCCAAATCTATCATTAGATTCTTGAATACAGATGTGATTTTGAGAAACTTAACAGCTTCTTGTACTTCAGGATCATGCGCCATGTAATCCCCAACAACTCTAACAATTCTTTTCATAGGAAGTAAATCGAGAATTTCTTGAAGATCTTCATGAAGAGGACCTTTGCCGAAATCTGGGAACTGGTGAGATTGACCCAAGCCAATGATGGCCAAGATGGTAAATAGCGCAGAGAATAGGAATTTCATCTGCAAATATATAATAACCGCATATTTAATAAATGTGTAAATATTATAACACATTTTATAATGTGTGTGTATCCAAATATAATGTATATTGAAAAAATATTATTTTGAAAAAGAAATGTATTTTTTTAAAATTATATTTAATTTGTAAAATTTGAACACATTGATAAACTATAGGAGAAAAGAAGATAATAATTATCTATAAGTTAAATTGCTTTTAATTATATGCAAATTGCCTAAAATGTCTTTTTACATAAACAAAAATTTAAAAATTTTTATAAATTAAAGGAGAAGCCTTAAAATAGAAATATATATAACATATATTTATATATATGTGAAATAGATATGTATGTATACAATATTTAATAAATATGTATGTGTATGTATCATATAACATGTGTATAAGATTTTTCTGGCACATATTTATCGTATTCATACATATATATCATTGATTAATTGATTGACTAGTTCTTAGAATAAATTTTATTTGAAAAGAAAATATTAATTTTCAAAGATCAACTACAAATATAGATTAAACATAGAAGATTAAAAATAAAACTATAAATATATAATTCATTGTTAATAAGTTAATAAAAAAATTGGCATTTCACATACATACACATACATTAAACTTTTACTAAGAAGGAAAAAACTGACACTAAAATATTTATAAAATAACTGAAATTAAGAAGCAACATATAGTAAAAATAATTTGTTAAGCAAAGTTTTTAAAAAAGTGTATAAAAAAGACTTTCTTACTTACCGTGGCAGCTGTATGAATGCGCTTTGAGATCCGTAAATAATTATCGTACATTTATATATACTGCCAGTATCAAGTTACATAAAAGACTAGATAAGATTGCGATCAGATCGATATACTGATACACGAGAAAAAACTAAGGATTATTTGATAAGTTTTTGGACATAAAAAACACGAAAGTTCTTATTATTTGTTTTTCTCTCACATGTATCAAATAATGAAAAAACAACTAAGAAATATAGATGCACTTTGCTATTCATATTACAATAAATATATTACAAATGCATATGTAAATTTATTTAACAGGCATGCATTTTCTTAAACGGGTGTTCTAATAAAATAATCAATTTTAAATGTTTAGAAATTAGTTCAACTACAACATATTTTACACATTTTGCCTCACAATTTTTATATTTTGATATTGTATAATGACTAGTCATTTATTTTTGAACATAAGTTATGATCGAAACTTTGATATTGCTAGTATCTTAACTGCCTATTTCTTACAATATAATCATTTTTAATAAATTGTTTTATCATTGTGATTTGTTTGATATCTTGTTATTAATGATATTTATCTTACACAATAATCGATATCTTAATCATAGATTACGTATTTTTCGTAGAATAACTTTTTTACTTCTTATATTGAACATTTTATAGTAAACTTACACGGAACTAAGATAGTGCGATAATCATTCTTCCTTTTTCCCGACATTTGATATTGATTATGTCGTTCATTTCATTTCCCGGAACATACTTAAGACAACTTATTGCCAATATCGATTTCTTTGTTTCTCGTTATTATATTGTCCATATACAATTAAAAATTATCCACAAGATAACATACTAAAAAACAAGTTATTTCTCGGAATATATGTATTTATTTATAAACTACAATTATTAAAAATAATGGGAATAAAATCTAGATCTATTATAGCAAATATTAATTTGATGCCTAATAAAAAATATGGCCTAATTTACTTACAATGTAGAAATATAGAATTTGACGTTACAAAATATCAAATAATTAATTATCGAAATGATGAAGTAAAGAAGTTCTGTTAACAAAGTATATCAGTCTTATTGTTAAATAATAACAATATTTCTATTGAAGATTTTACAATTTTAAAATAAACTATTCCTATATTAAAAAAGTAAAATATATGAAGCATAATATATATGTTTTACATATATATGTAAAATTATACTAACAAAACGATGCAAAAACAGCAAACTTTTTTTACAAATAAGATTTTATAAAACATACTGCTTTAAATAAAAGATGTATGTAGATAAAAAAAAGAAGAGATAGTGCAAACAATATAACATTTCATTGAATTTGTTATATTCAATGATTTATTAAGTAACGTTTACATTTTTCAGAAATTAATATCGGCAATGTAATCTTATCTAGTTTTTTATTTAAGTAATCTACTAAATATAATCAGTCTAGTATGATGCTATATTCTTCAATATAATTTTACGAGATTTCTATACGCGAATGTCAGTGTTCACCCACAGCAGTCATGGTAAGTAAAGAAACAATCTTTATGCACATTACTTTGAGAATTATTTTTATTCAAGTAGCATTATTTAAACAAAATCACGGTTTTTTGTTTTAGTTGCAGATTCTATATAGGTTCTTCTTCAAAAATTAAAATCTTGCTCAACAAAATTCTATATAAAATTAATTTGATTAATATAAAAATTTTTTGTATATATTTCTATTTTAAACATTTTATTTTTATATTAATAAGTAATAATACATACATTTGGAAGAGAACACAAATGACTCAGAAATTATGCCTGACATTAAAATAAATAATATTACAGATGAAATTCACGTACAAGTTAACGTTGTTTGCCGTCTTGTCCATTATCGGCCTAGGCCAAGCTCATCAGGCTCCGGATTTCGGCAAAGGTCCTCTTCATGAGGATATGCAAGATATTCTGGATTTAATACCTGTTAAAGAAATTAATAACATTTGCCAGGAGTACTTAGCGGATCCTGAAATACAAGCTGCTATGCAATATATCCTAACGACAACTATAATCGAAGACTTGATGTTAGATTTCGAGGCTATCCCCGAAGTGATCAACCTTTTTAATTATCTGCAAAAGGAAGGAATTGAGATTTACTTCTTAATAAATGAAATTAACAAAGCTCTTGGCATCAAGGAACTCGAACCATCCATTTCGCATTCTGCGATCAAGAAGAGGACTGGTGGAATCGCCGGATTTTTCAAAGATATCAGAAAAGTGCTTCCTTCTGATGACTTTATTCACATCTACGTGCAGAAAATGAAAACCTCTCGAACCTTCGTCAGATATATCAATCAACTTAAGTCCAATAATTTCCAACAGATTGTCAACAAAGTTCACAAAATTAAATCCTTTCAGATCATTTTAAATGGCCTTAAGAACAGCGGAGTAAACACGCAAATTGTAGCGGATGTCATGTTCATTGTTCTTGGCATTACTGTACCAAACTAAATTATGCCTATTTGCGCATACGATAGATGATAACTTTTTAGACTTTCTGGAACTTATACCGGTAGAAAAATATAATGAGATATTGCTCATTTATAAACGAGAATAAAAACAGTGCAAATCGTTCGTATATACTTATTTAAATCGACTTTCATGATCAGTTACGTGCTGTCGAAGCTCTTAAGAAATTTCAAGCACTCATAATATAGTTGCAAAAAGCTGGATTAAGTGTTGTCGATTATATTCCACAAGGCTATCGGCATGCGAGAGTATATATATCATCTAAAATAGACAGTATTTTTAAATCTCAGGTTTTGGAGTGCAGAAAATCGGCGATAGAATAATAAAAATGCTCAATAATTTTTATAATATATTACCTTTGAAAAAAATCAACGATCTTTACCAAAAAGAAGCTGCAGATTTTCAAAGTTTGTGCTGATTTTATCGCCAAGTTAAAATTGCCAAAGATCATCGATAATTTATACGCTACTAAAATTTAAATATAAAAAAGATATTTTAAAGACCAGAGAAGAGAAAGAGAGAGGAAAGAGAGAGAGAGAGAGAGGGCAGAAGGATTGGAACTTCAGGTGGTGATAAAATCATATTAGTATCAATATATATATATTATATTTTAAACATTAGCAATTTGCAATTATATTGCGTAACATGTAAATGTCATTGATAAATATAAAGTTTCGAATTAAATAATTAGTTTTTTTTGTAATTAATAACAATTTTATATTGCTTTATATGTAATGTAGACCTATAAATGTCTATAATTAATAAATTATTTTATTTATTTTTTATGATGTACTAAAGAGCTAAATTTTCTAAACAAAACAAACATTTTATCTACCTATATACTATGAACTTTAGTACAGTAAACTTTGCACAACGTTTTGTTCGATATCACTTTCTTCTTCAGCTACTTTTTTTTCGCTTCTACTTAAAATTAGCTTTGTCTCCTTTCTCTATCACAACAGAATGGTTTATCGATGATAGCACACATTATTTTCTCCCTGAATAAGTTATATCATCACTATGTGATAAGATTTATATGTAATATATAAAAATCTTTTGTTTACAATTGCTAAAGTTAGCAATTTTAACACAAATAGAAATTCCGTATAAAAAGATATATTTAAAAAACTTATTATGTATTGATATATCAACTTCTTTGTGTGTATTTTCCGCGTTATTATATCGATACAAATAAATTATCACATATTGCAACAAAACTTTGTAGAAATAAAACCTTGCATAGTAAAGCTTCAAAAATTACTTCAAATAAAGAAGATATCTAGAAAAAACAAACGTAAGAATATAACATTTTATTAAATTTTTCCATGTTTAATAATTTATCGAACAATTTTTACATCTCTTAGATGATGATGTCAAAGTAATCTTATCTTTTTCCTTATTAACTGATTTACCTAAACATGATGCTTCCAGTATATAAATACGCGAGAATTATTTAAGAACCTCAGTGATTATCCACATCTGTCACGGTAAATTAAGAAAAAATTTTCAAGTGTTTTTTGGAAAAAATTTAATTTTTTGTATTAAGTAATTGTCAGAATGATTTATATATATAAGTACCGATCTTTTTAAAATTTCACTTATGAATATAAAATTAATATATTTTTTAAAATAATATTTTTTTATTGGTGTGTCATATTTATATCATACTAAAAAATACACATTATAATGGTTAGTATTAATTTATTCAGCTCGGGGGTTTTGATATATTTGCAGATGAACTTTGCATTAGTGCTATTTGCCGTCTTGGCCATTATCGGCTTTGGCCAAGCTCATCAGTTTCCGGATTTCGGCGAAGGTCCTCTTCACGAGGATATTCAGGACATTCTGGATTTAGTACCTGCTGAAGACATCCTGAATGTATTTTTTACTTATTTGGCAGAGGATTCTGAAGTAGCAGATGCTTTTGCAAACCTTATATCCTCAAACATTCTCAGAAATCTAATGGAAGATTTCGAGGCTATCCCAGAAGTGATCAACTTTTTCAACTATCTGCATAAAGAAGGCGTCGATATTTACTTCTTGATAAACAAAGTTAACAAAAATCTCGGTATCAAGGAACTCGAACCACCTCCTTCTCATGCGTATTCTACGATGATCACCGGCGGAATTGCCGGCCTTTTCAAAGACATCAAGATACTGTTCCATTATGATGATTATATTCGCATCTACGTACGGAAAATGAAAATCTCTTCAGCTTTCGTCCGCTTCGTCAATCAACTCAAGTCCGACAATTTCCAGCAAATTATTAACAAAGTGTATAAAATTAATTCGTTTCAGATCATTTTGAATTTCCTGAAGAGCAAGGAAGTGAATACAAGAATCGTAGCAGACATCATGTTCATCGTTCTCGGCATTACTGTACCAGACAAACCAGATTATGTTCACTATTCGTACGGTAGATAACAAGATCTTGGATTTTTGGAATCTTATTTTGATAAAAGAGTAATGAAATTATACTAAATTATATATATGAAGATAAATGAATACAAGATATTTTGAGCTATTAAAGTTAACACCCGAATTCTACTTTATATTACATGACATCGGAGTTCTTAAGGAATATCAAATAATTATAATATGTCAGAGCAGAAAACTGAATTTGGTCGAATTATTAATTATATCTAGATGTTATTCATTTGCTGCAACATAAATAAAGAGCTTATATGTATCATAAAGCAAAATAAATTTTTATATATTTAAATAGACACAATATTATCTCAAATAGAGCAAATAATAATATCTTAAGAATATTGCCTAATCCTTGCTTATAGCTATATGTAATCTGTAATTAAAATGTACTTTAAATTTATGCAACATAATTTATATTCATCTTTAAAGTTTCGTTGTTGTGATACTTCTGATCCATTTATGGAGAGTGTACATTTCTGTTACTGATTTATATACACAAAATTAACTCTTCTTTATTCAATTCACGAAGATAAAATTATGTAGATAATACAAATGTACAATTTAAAGTTAAAAGACAAATATTTATAAAAAATTGTATCTTTACTAAATTATTGAAAAAATATAACATTATATCTTTATATTTTTAATTAATTTTTAAGTATGTAATAGTTCCACATGCAGAATAATTATTAAACAAATGACAATAAAAGCATTTGATGAGACATAAAATGGTCCAGAAATTTGCGATTAATTGATTGATTATCAACAAATCATAGTAAAAAATTCAATACTTTTAATGTTATTTTAATTTTATACAGTCGCATACAACATATTTTGTTTAAAATTATTTAATTTTAATAAAGGACAAAAATTTATAAAATTAAAACCTAGAACGTGCATGCGATGTTAATAAACGTAAGATATCGATTTTAGAATAGTTAATATTTCCGATAAATAAGAAAACAATTGCCTTAAATTTTAATCATAATACAAGTATAAATTATATAACAAATGTGTAATTAAATAAGATAGTTGTTTGTCAAGAAAAATCCGTCCAGAAGAAAAGATGGATTCTTTTAATTTAAATAGATCTATGATATTTTCTACATTAATATATATGTGATTCAAAATATTAAATAGATTGAAATATTTTACATTTTTATGAGAAATATGTGTGTGAAATTAATTTTATAATTTTTTATTATGCATATATGTAATCTATTAAAAAAAAAAAAATGGGTCAAATCTGTTTGTAACCTTTCTTTCAAAACTCGATTAATTCGATAAGATTGGTTATCGAGAAAAATTATCTATTGCTTCTGTGTTACAATCATTATCCGCTGCATATATACTTCAATAAATCTCTTATCATACAAATATGTGATAAAAGCTTTCAATGAGTCTTATTTTTAAAGTATACAATCTCTATTGCGATTAATATGTAAAAAGAAGTCTATAATAAAATATACATCTTAAATTCGTTTTAAAATCATTTTTTTAAATACATTTTATTTTAAAGTCACGTGCTAGGATTAAAATACATAAAATCTTTGTTTAATCTTTGAAAAAATGACGAAAAAAACTAAAAATTAATATGTAAAAAGAAGTCTATAATAAAATATACATCTTAAATTTGTTTTAAAATCATTTTTTTAAATACATTTTATTTTAAAGTCACGTGCTAGGATTAAAATACATAAAATCTTTGTTTAATCTTTGAAAAAATGACGAAAAAAACTAAAAATAGGAAAAGTATAAAAAGAAAGACATTCTGTGAAAACAATATATCTGAGCATCTAAAATATTTTTAACTATTCTTTTAATTACTTTTATTCTTTGTAAAATTATGCAAACATATAAATGTCAATATTTTTATTCTATTATTTTTATTGTTTAAATCTATTAAAAATTGATTTACAATTGACAATTTCAAATCACGCTGATATTACGATAAAACATTCTTTAATTTATCGAGTTTGAAATTTTTTCATTATAGTTTTCTAAGACAGATTGATTCCAAGCTTTTTCAGTAAAAAACATCATCGTTACGTCTTTCGTAACATACTGAAAGTTTTATTGATCATAAGAGAAGGCGACTTTTGCACCGTGTGTTACGAATGACTTTGTACGCTCGCACCTATTCGATAAATAAGAAAAGACGAGTCAGTGCAGGTGTGACGCTAACTTTTAAAAGAAAGCTAAAGAGTTGGCATCCGATTTCTCGTGCTGGAGCCAAAAAGAATACCGTTAGTCGCGGGATGACTACGTACAGACATGAAGAAAGCAAAACTACAGAGATAGAAATGGAACCGAGAGAGTGTAGAAGCTGATGGTGTTCCTCTAATTAAAATTGTTACGATTTAATAAGCCTCGGAACTTACCATTGGCGCGTAATGAGAAGTCATGAGAAGAATAAGTAAGACAGAACAAAACGAGAGAGATTTCTAGAAGAGGAATGAAGTGAGATTGAGCAATTCGATTTTATAATTTTATTAATAAATCAAATAAATTAAATAAATAAATCAAATTGTCTTAATAATATAAAACAGTTAATTACTTATACTGTGTGTAAAAAAATACATGCCAGATTTATGCGTCTCTAATTTCTCAAGAAAAGAGGAAACTTTGTGATCTTCTATATCTTGTACTGTACTACGTTTAATTGGCAACGGCGGTAGCATCGGCTTCATAATTGTACTTCGGAGGATCCCCGTTTCCTCTGAAGTTCCACCTGTGCGCGGGGTTGCAACGGCAAGTCATATCAAATTATTTTCTCTTGCTGGCCAGAAAACTTTTGCTCGATATTATGGCGGCATGTGGCGGTAACAGCCTGCCGTGCCGGTCCTATCGTTACCGACGTAACGGTCTCGAGGATTTTCACAGTAAAACAAGAAGAACCAACTAAGAAAATGTGTTCGGTATTGCATTAAAGCCGCTTGCCGCCGGGCAGAATTCCGCGGGTAATTTCGATACTCCATTCGTTGCCATACCGATACGTAATAATGGATGCGAAACGCATACGTAAAAAGAGCATTTTGGAATTTCAACAAAACTACAAGATGCTACGAAAAAAATAATTATATTATCGTATTTTACAGTACCGGCGACATTAATTTATTAGAGATCATAAAAGATTAAAAAATTATAGATCCATAATAGGAAATAATCTGCATAAGCTTTTGTCAATCACATAATTTTTTAAAATTAGTAATTAATATTTAAAATCTCGATCTGATGTCAGAATAGAAACTTATCGATTTCTAAAATGAATGAGAACAAATATCTTATAAAAGCGTGGAATGAAAATATAGGAGCGGACGAGAAAAAATTTGTATTTTACGGCGCGTTATCCGAGGGCGACATCGGGAATTGGTGACCGACTAAACTCGGCCAATCGGAAGTCTCTCTCGATGTTTGATGGCGGAAAAAAGCCCCCCCAGTGGCCCAAAGGTCAACGATGGTGCGGAGAGTAAAGCGCTTCTTTTAGTCCTTTTAGTGTTACGTCGTTCGTGTTATGTTGCTTGCTTTGCGGAAGACTCTTGGACAAAGGAGGACTCCGGGACGATTCTGTGTTGCCGGGGAAGCGGAGGGGTGGCCCGCTAGAAAGTGGCAGAAAAGGTGGCCGTAACAAATCCTCCGCAAGTAATCGAGGTCGTGCCTCGGCAAGGTTTTACTCTCGAACACTTAACTCTATTGCGATTGGATTCTCCAGCTGCCTGTAGTACGCTCACCATCGCCCGTTTCGTTTTCTCGCTACTTTGCCGCTCTCGCCCCGTTTCGCGCGCCCACTATCCCCTTTGTCTCTTTCTGTACTGCTGCCTGGACCACCTATATCGCGGAACACCTCGGTGGTTTCTTACACGTGGAAACCTTATTACAGGCGACACGATAAAATACCCCAGAGAGACGGAAGAAACCGTTGCTCGAGTACCGGCACCACTATGAACACTGACAGGGTGCAGTGAGAAAGGACGATACAAGAATTGTATCCCGTGCAGCAATGACAACTTTTAAAGAGTGTACGTAAAGAAATATATTCAGAAATGCACAAAAAAATATATATACATAAGTTATCAAAGAGGGAGAGAGATAATATCTTTAGAAAATTAACAATTTTTAGAGAGACAGAAAATTAGATGATTTTAATTTTATCATTAAAAATCAGTGTGCGATTATTCCAATTACAAAATGGTAAATAAGACAAGTGACATAAAATGTTAAAAAAGTTATTAGAATATTAACAAAAAAATGTTGCAGTTATCTCGGAACAGCGGCACGATGAATTCTTAGCGGTCGGTGTAGAAAATATGACTTTCGCGCCGCAGAATTGCGGGATCGTCGAGGAGAAGAGCGATAAAGAACCGTAGGGGTTAGCAACCTCGGTAGACGTGCACAAGTTCGCTTGTATTTCAATGTCGGGACATCCGGCCACTCCGACGAGTGATGTGGTCTGCTATCCCCGTACATCCGGCCGTCGCCAAACACTGTCGTGTGCGTTCGCCCTTCCGTATGTTTGCCTGGGTTCAACTTTCCTCGGCGCCATGGGCCTGACTGTCACGAGGTGACCGCCTCCTAACGCACGACCCTTCAGCCTGTGACGCGAAAACCGCGTCATTGCGGGTTACATAGTAATATAGCTGCATGTGCACCACGAAAAATGCTGTTGCGAGAGAGCAGAAAGCTCGAAAACGCAAAGCTGCTTGACAGAGTTTGTTGACAATGTCTTTGTTATGTATGTGTAGCTTATGATTTAGCTCTTTAACAAATAGACTTAAAACTTTAGGACAGTATACGTATAGTAGAAATAAATCATCGTCAAAATTGTTATTTTTTTTTGTGTATATATATAAATCAGATAAAATATATAAATAATATCATATTTTTTAAATTTTATGTCAATTCTATATTCAACTCAATCAATCAGATGTAAATAATAAAATATTACACATAACTCTATGTTTGACATAAGAAGAAAATCAGATTTTAAACTTTATCAGATAAAAAAAACAAACTAAACACTTTAGATAGTGTATATAGTACATATAAAATAAATAATTAGAAAACGATTAGGATTAGAAAACTATTAAACAATTAAATTAAAATCGTTCATTTGAGATTTGATAAAAAAGTAAACAGATAAAAATAATCTCTTACTACAATAGTATATAATTAATTGTAAGAAAAATATCCTACAACACTAAATCTATTCATAATATATATATATGACACACATATTAGACATAGAATTATATACCTTCAGAAAAGATGTGTATAACAATTATGCCAATTCGATCTTCGTGCTAATTTCGTAATACGGATTGTATGTGATAGTATTAAACCTCATCTCAAATATTATTTCAGGAAATTCAGTTTAATAATAATTTTACGTGACAATTAATAATACACGGTATTATTGAAAATTGCGATAGTGCATACGATTATGTAGGTAAATTGTTCAATTACTCGTTCACATTAATTGGATGCTCGGCACATTGAAATATTTGTTAATATCTCTCATCACAAATATATTACAAATATATTATTTAAAA